ATTAACCATAATTTTAATTGCTGGGCAGATTTCATATGATGATGTAATTGATCACTTTGCATCAAGGAAGGCAAGAAAGGTCAGGTTTTACATGCCATTTGAGCAATTTTGTGTGTGTGTGTGTGTGTGTGTGTGTGTGTTTTAGTGTAATAAATAACTTATCTGCTTTATACTGCAAGACACTGTATTATTCTACTTGTGTGATAAAGAATATGTGCAATTTATTTGTATTTGATTCCCTAATTTATTTGTATCTGTATACATTTTACACAGCAAATGTGCCAGTGTTAAATTAACACTGCATGGTGTCTATATGTGACCACACCATTCAGTGTTACCTTTAACACTTTTCAGTGTGCATTGAGTGTTGTTTTTAAAGTGTTAATATTTATAGTGTTCAATTTACAACCTAGAGTGTTGTCAAAGAGTCTCCGCCTGTACATATGTGCCCCATTTTAATATGCGAACAAGACATCATGAGGATCAGAAGAGCCATCCCAGATTTACCCACCATCATGAGAAAGACTCTGACCAAACAGGACCTTACAGCTTTTTCTGGTTTTGTATTAAAGTTTTTTTTTGCTTGGCTCTGACAAATCTTGAAGATTAAAGAGCTGGGAGTATGTTGTTGTTGCATAAGAGAAAAAACTCTTGAAGATGTACAGGATGTGTCTCCAGATTGGTGTATATATATTAATAGTGTGGTAGTATGTTTGACTGCTAGTCCTGCCTTTGGATGATTAACATATGTGGAAAGGTGTCAGGACAGTTGTGATAACCTTTTCTGTGCAGCTCTTGGTATGTCCCACTCCCCTGTAGACCAATGGTGCTGGATGTATATTTGCATAGCATAACACAGTACTGTTTTTGACTTAATAGATTTTTTTTAATCCACCGCAATTGTGATGAATAAGGCAAGAGAACAAATACCACCGAAATGGCTCTTGCGTTCTAGCCAAGGACCAGGTATGGTGGTTTAGCCTCTATGGCTTAACTAGAGAAGGCATTGGCTGGGAGGAAAATGCTATGGACAACCAATCATTTTGTTTCTTTTCTAAGTCTGCTCTTTCCAGGAAGATCATTTGGATCTTCTGTATCTTTACAATTGAGAACACTTCAGGGATACACATATGTAAGAACTACACTGCCCACATCAATTAGCATACAACAGGCAACTCAAAAACACAGATAATGAGATGTGGTAAAGACTAATATCAGTGCCATACCAGCCTCAATCGTGGTGGGTTTCTAAAAATTAAGCTTAATGAAAATCTTATTATTAAATGAGCAAAGTGATTTGATTTGTTCTATCGCAAGTTGTGGTCTAAAAGCAACGAGGTCACCACCCATTATATCTGCTTTAGCGGAAATACACTCCTTCAGCCCTTCTAAATAACTATGTGCTGCAGTCTAAAAGAATCTAGCTTCAAAATCTGTGTTTGGTACCATACATTTCACGCACTTTCATACCACAGAGGATTCTCAGCACAGTTTTTTGATTATTATGAGCTGAACTGAAATAAAACTTGCATAAAAAGAAAAATGGCTATATTGGTCTAAGTCTTTCTTATTATGGTGGGTTAGTAAAACACAGCAGCTGAATGCCCAAATGAGTTCAAATGAGTGCACATTAAAATAGGGCAGATATGGGCCACCCATTTTGTACTTGTATGCCACCCATAGGGGCTTGCAATTTGGGAAGAGGTGGAGACACGTTGTCCTAAAACTCTAGGTTGTAAATTGAACACTATAAGAGTTAATAAATATTAACACTGTAAAAACAACACTCACTGTACACTGAAAAGTGTTAAAGGTAACACTGAATGGTGTGGTCACATATAGACACCATGCAGTGTTAATTTAACACTGGCACATTTGCTGTGTAGTTTTGCTAATTTATTTTTCCTATATTTGCTCATTTGTATGTTTTAATAACAAATATGGTTAGTTCAGTAATGTGTCTTTTTTGTTGGCTTGGGTTTGTGTTTGCCCAGGATGTCATACAAGCTGACTGCGATATTGCAGATAGAAACAGCATTACGCAACAGTGAAACATAGTGGAACAGATTTTCACCTCAGTGGACAGAGTGCAGATTACAAAGCCTGACTGCTGTGGGGACCAATGGGCTGCGATACCGGTCCTTCACACATGCTGGGTGTCTGTTACTGAAGGAGATGCCCAGGGCTTCCAGCCCAGACAGTCCATGCTGGGATTCACTGCCCAAAGATATCTGTAATCTATATGATGGATGATTATGTATGTCCTGTGATGGGCTGGCATCACTTCTGCGGTGCACGCTTGGCATGTGTCCCATAGGGCAGGCGCCCTGGGATAGGTGGGTGGGGAAGATGGGGATGGGGTCAGTGTTTGAAAAGCAGCAGGTGTGAAGCGAGATGCTCAGCACATAGCCTGGTCTCAATGCTTCATGGGGAGCCTCTTTCATTTTTCGCTGAGCTTTTCATCTTCTTTTGCACTGTAGCATTTGCAGTTTCTATTGCTGTTTCATTCTACTGACCCGAAAATGATCACCTCTGTCTATGTAATGTCTGCTTGACATTTAATAAGCAGAATAACACATTCAGGGTTCTTACAAACAGGCTGAGACCTTCATTGATCCTCTTCCACTTGGGTGCTTTCCACAAAAAACCCGGAAATGGTATATCGCATCCACATCGCGTCCTGCAAGTATCGCGACATCTACATTGATTTTTACCATATAGCCTACCGTTATTATGGGAAACTCCATTCGTTAAGTCAATAACGTTATAGTGATATATAACGATATATTTTGGTTTATGTTTATGCTTTGTTTTTAACTGTTTATTTCCTCTTAGACTGGACCATAACACCAGGATTGTGTGGTTCTGTCTGGGTCTGTGGGAGAGCTATTGCCGACACAGGAAGCAGGTTAAGGAGTTCACACGTGTCTGTGTTTGCCCGCACACGTGTTTGATTTCCCGTCTAGTTTGGGAATAAGCGGTTTGGAAAATGGATGGATGGGTGGATGGATGTAGGGAAATGCCCCTCCCCTCTCCTTCACGGTATCCCCCTTATCCTCCGTCTGTCGCCTCTCTGTCTCAGATATAACGGGAATAACAATTTTAGTGCGAAGCTTGGAGATCTATACAAGAGACATACATTCTCATTTCCTCCATGACCACTCCAGGGCTGCTCCTTTACGCGTGTGTCTTTCTCTGTGCAGAGTCACAGCCACAGAGGAGCCCATATAAGGAAGCTTAATTCTTAAATATATGGGATAATGGGATTAACACTGTGGGAGAAATTAAATGAAATCATCACCCGGCTGTTTTTACCTGCTTCTGCAGAATACAAGATCTCTGAACTATGCTCCCCCCCGAGTGAAACGATAAGGCATCTTCCTGATGGTTTTTCCTCGCTGAGAAACAAAAATCGAAACAGCATTAATTACACACGGGAACACTCTGACAGTTGGCTGGATTTAAATAATGTCACAATTTCGTCCGACAATGTTTTTGAGACAGCAGGGGGATTAAGGAAAATATTGCTTCGTGATGTAGAATGACAGAACATGAATTCTGTATGTTGTGATATACAGTGCCACCTTGTGGCATATTTAAGTACTTCCATCCGATCATCCATTTCCTATACCCGCTTGTCCTATGCGTGTTTATACTCTTTACATGAAATTTCATGCTAAACTGTTTGTCTTGGAAGACGGAATTAAAATATTTCTGCCTTATGGACTGAGCGATTCGTCTCTGGGATCCCTCGTTTCCGTATGGACCCCAGGCGGGATCACAGACAGTTGTTACAATTATTTTGTGTGCATAATGTATGTCCGTAGCCCCTCCATGGTCTATCACGCAGCTGGATTTCTTGCTTAGCCGGATAACTTATCGGATTTAAGGTAGTCTGGGCAAGAAATCCACTTTCGTGATACAGGCCCGAGGGCTCCGTACAAATCCGTATTTGTCAGGTAAGTGTAGAGAACAACTCAGACCATACACAAATTAGCCCACCACCACTGGTACAGGTAGTCTCAGGCAGTTTATGCCGTGGCCAACCATTCTAAAGGCACAAACTGCCTTTAGCCATTCTGCGTGTCATGGCCTCCCATTCCCGATCAGACACTTTTACTATGCATTTTTAACAGTTTACCGAACTTTTGTGCTCTTCTAAACAGATGATTATCTGTGTACAGATGTTCACACAGTCGTAGCATCCCGGAACCACAGAAATGGGTATAAATACATTCCACGCTAGATTATGCTATTCTACCAATAAATTACAGAAGTGTCTGTTGTACTGGTCCACTTTACCATGGCAGCTGCCGAATGTGCATTTAAAGGTATTATGGCTCAATGTTTTTTTTAGTTGCGTTTTGCTGCAGGAAGAGCAGTCAACAGCCCGGCGTCTCAGTGCTATCCTCCAATGTCCACTGGGAGGCGCTGTAAGACAACAGAGCTCACACCTGGAACTCCCCCTGCCAGAAGGAATATGATCGATGGAGCCAAAGCCAAATACGGTATCATTTTCCTCGACATGTTTTATTTAAACCCCATGGAGGAAATGAGGAAAATGCTTTTATATGAAAATCTTTTTTGCCCTTTTAAACTGACTGAAGACTTGGCTCATTCTGTAGACATTTCTCTAGCCAACACTCCTAGATCTTCTCCAGGGATTTCCCAGGGCATTCAGCCTGATGCAATACTCCCCTCTAAATGCACAATAGGCATTATAAAAGGACACAAACATCACTCTGTTCCACAGAGCCATGTGCTCTGGACAGCCTGGAAATGAAAAGTAGTTAAAAGTGGTTCTGGTGAAGCAAGAAGTGTCACAGTATATGGGAAAAAAGGATAGGTTGTGTTTCAATGATAAGTATGTTGTCAAGATGATAGATAAGGTTACTACCAGAGGAAGGGCATCATTATATCTGTGAAATTACGGCTTTCTCACCTGATGAATGTCAGAAAAGCATATTTTCAGAAGATGCACACAAGACCATCACACTCCGTCTACGTAAAGACAAATATCTTTATTGTGTACAAAATTTAACAGTGGTCACTTTTGCATTGTTCTACACCATTTGCAGTCTGATTTCTGCTCTTTTTTTTTATAAAACTTTTTGCCTGTAGTGCACAACAGTCATTATTCACGCCCAGAGATCAGACAAACATCGAAAGCTGAGAGGAGACGGAAGGTGGTACCACTTTGTCAGAGTAATGGCATCGACAGAGAAAGTCTCGGTGTACCGCAGTCCTTCAGCTAGCGGTACACCTGCAGGATCTCACGTTACACACCACACGGACACAGCTTCTGAACCCAGAAGCACAGAACGGAGAGTGCCCCCCCCCACCCCCAGCTCTCCTTCGTCCCTGCTAGGGGTCAGTAATGGGATGAGGCCATGTTATAAAATTAAATAATGACTGTGTTATAACTGTAACTGTTTTATAACCAAATTGCCAGCAGGGACTCAGTTCACACATCACAATCAATGGTGCAGAATAGAGAGATTAATGAATTTGTGCTCTTCCGTTCCTCAGAGACGAGGATTATCATCAAACCTGGATTCTAGGGTCTTTGTTAGAGCCCAAAGGCATTATACCATCTCTAACGCCCTTCTGACTGCCTCGGACTGCGGCTTGTATCACAGCCTGACCGCCATAGAAAATAAAAACAGCTAAAGGATAATGCAGGAAGTTTCTGTATTTTAAGCAAGACATTTGATTCAAACTACACAGACAGACTATTATCTTAACATACAAAAACTTGAGTTCCCAGTATAGAGTGCAGCTTTTGAGGATCCATGAGTTTAAGCAGAGCACAGAAATTCATCCCTGTAGTCCTACTGGTTTTCTGCTACTGACCATTTCAATCAAGGACACTTTTAAAGGAAACGTAACAGAACCCCAAAGAGCTGTAAAGTTGATAGAACCACTGTTTCTGCATTGCATTTGAACAATTTGCAGTTCATTCTTTTAGTTACGGTAAGTCATGTGACTGAATTTTATCTTAGTACCATTATACATGTAACACAAATGGAACACAATGGAACTATGGGAGAACAGCGGTAAAATACTTACCGCAGTGTAAGCTGTGGATACTGTTGCTGCAAGTTTAATGTTCCACGCGTATTTTGTGTTTTACACACCACAATGTCAATTTTAGGACCTTTTACCCTCAGAACTTGGGCGAGGGGGAAGTTTGTGGTAAAAGTCCGGAGGAGTGGGATTCGGACTTGAAGTCATCCCTGTAGGAACATAGTACATGCTCTCTAGGTAGCTCTGATCCAGAGGTGGGTGGTTCTGGGACTCACGCTTTGAGCCCTGGTTACCTGGGCTCCCAAAACTTCTGTTGGTCTGGTGGAGAGCTGGGGGTGCTGGGACCTCTGGGTGCCGCGGTGGTTGGGTGGGGGGGTGAGGTGAAACTGAGTAAGGCATGTACTGTGGAGGATACATGCTAGGGCTGTGCAGAGAGGGGTAGGGGACAGCGGAGGGTGGGTACAGACCCGACTGCGGGATTAGCACCTCTACGTATTGGCCGGTCTCGGGGTCGAAGAGCATCTTGCGTAGCGGCTGCACTGGCACCTCAACGTAGAAGTACTTTCCAGTCTCGGGGTCCAGCAGAACACGCCGGGGACTCTGTCCAAAGAGGCTACCACCACTCTCAGGGTAAAGTACTCCACTGTCCCCAGGGCCCTCGCTGCTGTACTCTGGGCTGAACGAAGCTGTGAAGCTCTGCGGGCTGCACAAGTAAGGGGGTCTCGATTCCAGTGAGGTGGGCGAGTGGGTGTGGCTGCCGTAGGGACTCCCTGCGACCAGCTGTGTCGGCTGTTGGGGTGGGCGGGGGTGAAGCACTTGCCTGTCCGTCCTCTGTCCTGGCTGCCTGATGTCCTCGGGACGCGGCTGCATCAGTGGTCCAGGATAAGCAGGTACTGCGGGCGGGTGCTGAAGAGGCTGGAATGGGGCTGGAGCCTGCAAAGTCCTGGGCTGGGTGACTTGTGGTGATGCTGGCTGGAGGTTTACCGGCTGGACATCAGACCTGGGCTCATCTTGGTTGGCTGGGGGGACAGCTTGAGGGTAGCACGCATCCTGGGGGCGTAGTAGTGGTGCTGCAGGAGGAGCTATGTTGGGGGGTTGAAGGCTGGGCTGCCCAGAGGTCAAGAGACTCTCTTGAGCGCAGGAACATGGAGGAACTTGGCAGGTGGGATGGTAACGGTGGAACCTTCTGGGAGGCAGGTCCGTTAAATGCAGGGGGCTGAAGCTCTCCCTCTCGTCATAGCTTGGGGGGTCATCTGAGGTATAAAAGCGATATTTGTCAACATATGGCTGATGTCGCATTGGTGCCCTTGATCCCGGTTCCTTGATGTAACTTGGCGCTTGTGTTGTAGTGGGTGCTGCCATCGTTCTTGATATGCTGGATGCCACTGACATAACCTGCTCCTGTGTACTTGCGATATTTGATTGCTGTGGGCTGCTGGGAGGTGCTGGACTTTGTTTAAAGCTGGTTGTCACTGTTACTACAGGTTGACTAGTGTTACTGGATGTCGCGACCACCGTCGACTCCTGGGTGTAGCTGCTGGTGTGGGTTTCTTCTGTCACTGACTGTCGCTGAGTGTAGCTAGACATTGATGATAAGGATGTTACTGCTTGTGTTTCTCTCAGTGGGGATTTGCGGCTGATCTTCCCCATGTCTGTCTTTCCAGGTGTAAGAGCTTCTTTATGGTGGGGTTCACCTTTAGTCTCCAGTGGTGGGACTAGTTTTGGAGAGATATTAGTGCGTGTTGGTGTGGGATCCAAAATTGTCTCTTTCTTCGCCCCTGGGCCAAGATCTTCCACTGGGCGGCTTTGTAACGGGACCTCCAGCCTGTTGACATGCTTCGGTGTGGACAATTGGCTTCCGTTTGGAGCATCACAAAGCCCGATGTCAGCTTGAAAGCAGTTCTCTTTCAGTAGCATGGAGACGGAGCGGCTGCTGCTGGTGGTGGTTAGACTTAGGGGAGGTGGGGCTGTTGGGTCATTGCTGTCATTCGTTTGCCCATCCTGTAGTAGAATGAGGGTAGATATCTCTCTGTCCTTGCAGGGCAGCTTAGCTGGGCTGCTCAGCTTAGGGGCTCGCTCACTTTCCTTCTGTTGCTTCTCTGCTGGCTTGTTTGATTCTGATACACCAAGGCGGTTAACTTTATTAGACTCCGCATCAGGTGTCTCCTCATGTAACTCTGAGGTAGCCATGTCCTCAATCGAAACGTTCCTGGGTGTAACGTGAATCGAGGCTGTCTCTCTGACTTTTTCCTGAATAGTCTGAGAGGATGGCTCTCGTTGTGCCTTGTCGTCTTTTTGCGCCTCCACAGAAGCACTAACTGGTGCCTTCTCCTCCTTCCTGCTGATAGCCTTGAATTCAATCTGCATAGGAGAAGGAGGTGCAGTCAGTTTTTCCTCCTGTGCTGTGGGAATGCTGTCTTCTGCAGTTACAGCAGTTGCCTTAAACGATAAGCTGTATGTGTTTTTTACCATCTTTCTCACATCTTTTACTCTGTGCATGGGACCTTTAGTTTTGTTAGTTCCTGGATCTACATCAATACTGCTGCCTGTTTCGTTCACAGTCGGGTTTTCAATCTTTCCTTCTTGTTTTTCTTCTCCTTTTGCTGAATGAATGTCAGGACTCCTGCTTGGCATTATTCCTGGTCCAGGAGACAAAGGTGGAACCTTGATGGAAGTCTTCTTCTGTTCACCAGCAATGCTTGATTTTAGGGTTATTTCTGGTGTTTTAGACATGAAGATGTTCCTGGCACTCTGCTGTTTGTGGTTATCTGGCTTGGCGTGGCATTCCTTGATTCTGTTTGTCATTCCGCTCTGCGTGCTTGGGGGTCGGGTGGCAGCCTCGCTTGTGTTGCCGCTGATGGCACTTGCTGAGTCACTGGAGTTTTTCTCCCTCAGGTTGTCATCCGTCAGCTGCTTTATGTTCTCCCTGGAAATCAGTTTCTCGTTTTTCTTATTCTCAAAAGGGATCAGTAGCTCAGACCTTTTCCCCGTTCTCCCCGTATCATTACTATGAAAATCAGATCTGACGGTGCTGCCCTGAAGTGCATTAAGATCGAATCTACAGGATGGCCTCTGCTGGGGGTTGGAGTTGTAGGTTTCGGGTTGTTTGTTAAGGTTGCCTGGTAGGTCTTCTGAGGATAGGCTGCATTCAGAGGGCAGTTCCAAGCTCAGGCTAGACACCTCTGTTTTGGTAGTCTGTTTAATAGAAGATTGGGAGGTGTCAGCAGTTTCGTTTATAGGTTCAGATGGGCTGATGACTCTATTCTGGAATGGTACCTGCTGGCTTGTGTCTTTGTGTTCCTGCTGCATCTTCTTAGAGAGAACATTCTTGATGAAACAGGTAGCCATCTTGGTCTTGCCCGATGTCTCGTCCAAGGAGACAGACTTCTGCAGCTTCTGCTTCCTGTTTCCCAAGTCTGAATTGCTCTTGTAAGACTCCTCCTCGACGGCAGCTGGCGTACTATGTTGGCGCAGAAAGACATCTTTAGAGTGTCTTTTGTGCGTGGATGAGGCCTCAGCTGGATCCCCGCTGTTCTCTTGGGCAGGAAGTTCACATGTGTCACGCTTCTTGAGTTGGATCTGCCTCTTCGGAACGGTCCTTTTGCCCCTGCAAGTCTCGCCCCCACTATCCAGGGCCACATCCACACATTCGAAGCTGCCCATCTCAAAGCGTTTCGCTCTATTGAGGCTGTCTGAAGGGATAGCCGTGGGTGGCTGGCGTAACGGCTCGTCGTTCTCGTAACGCACGGAACCACGTAGATCTGCGTAGGCGGACCAGGCATTTGCACCAGTGCTGTCTTCAGTTGATGGCTGTGACATGTTGGTGGAGGACCTGTGACTGGAGTTGTACACATCCAGATAGTCCACCTGAGGGCTGGACAGGCTCTTGAAGGTTAAGTCTGTGAACCACTTCACCTCGTTGTCCGTCTCATCCAACTCACTACCCATACTGGAGCTGCCGCTGGCACAGTCTGGGGTAGAGTTGATGGTACTGCTGTCGGCGGTCTTTGGCAGTACTTGAGGTTTCCTAGGGCCACTGGGGTGATCGTGCTGTGAACGCTGAGGTCCGAAAGAGTTCTGGTGCTGCTGCTGCCGGGTTGCGAGGAGACACTCTGAATAACAGCGAGCTGGCATTCTCGTCTGTGGCTGTCTGTATGTAGCGGGGGGGCTGTGGCTTACAGGGACTTTTCTATTCTTGGCAATGAATGACAGCTCAACCTGTTCCTCTCTGTAACAGTTCTCTCCCCACTTACCCTCCCCCTCCTTGCCCCACTGATTCTTAGCCATGTTGCCCTCTCCCACCTCACCCCCCCTGTCTCTGCAGGGGTAGTTGTTGTGCTCTGCATTGCAGGGACTTCCACTGGATGACGGTTTTGGGTTCACAGCTGCTCTGAAGGTAGGAGGGCCGCTGTGGCTCTTTTCACCCTTCAGCCTGCTCTCTCTGTTTGCAGATGCTTTGTTGAGGACTGTGTCCAAAGTGGAATGTGACTCAGGGGAGCAGAAGCTCTTTTGTTTGGTGTTATTTTCCAGGCCTACAGCTGGTGAATCTCTGTCTGTATTGCAAGGTTGATGTAAGTTCAATCCTGAAAGTTCAGGGGAAAATGAATTATTAGATTTGTTTTGTTTAAACAAGGGAGTGTCTTCCTGGGCTGAGTCTATAAATTTGCATTCAGGCGAGAAGTCTGTACAGTAGGTCTTGGGCGACAATGACGGGCTTCTGGGTTTGGACAAGATATTAGTCTTTTTGGGTTCAGGCCATAGGTTGGTTCCGTTAATGTCATCCCCTGATTCTACTGAGAGACCTGAAGTGTTAGGATCAGACTTGGGCGGGAGAGCTGTAGTATTGGGTTTGGGTGAGGCTGATGTTTTCCCAAAATTGGATGATGGACAAGTAGCCTGGGATTTCAGTGAAGGTGTTACTGTACTGGGTGTAGCTGAAGGGGGTGTTGTCTGGGGTTTTGCTGAGGTTAATGTAATCCCAGATGTGAGTGATTGAGAAGCAGATTGAGACTTTAGTGAGGGTGATGCATTCTTGGGTCCAGGTGATGGGAATGCACTTTGGAGTTTGGAGAATGGGGATATAGTCTTGGGTGACAGTGATGGGGATATAGTCTGGAGTTTGGGTGATGGGGACGTAATCTGGGGTGTCAGTGATGGGGATGTATTCCTGGGTGTAGGTACTGAGGATGTGGTCTGAAGCTTGGGTGATATAGATGTGTTTGTGGGTGTAAGTGATTGGGATGTAATCTGGGATATCAGTGCTGGGGAAGTGTTTGTGGCTATAGGTGATGGAGATGTAATCTGGGGTGCCAATGATGGGGACATATTTCTTGGTGTAGGTATTGGAGATGTATGACGTTTGCGTGATATGGATGTGTCTGTAAGTGACAGGGGTGTGTCTGTAGCTGTAGGTGATGGGGATGTAATCTGGGGTGTCAGTGATGGGGATGTATGTCTAGTTATAGGTACTGAGGACATGGTTTGAAGTTTGGGTGATGTGGATGTGTTTGTGGGTGTAGATGATGGGATGGTGTTTGTGGGTGTAGGTGATTGGGATGTAATCTGGGGTCTCGGTGCTGGGGATGTGTTTGTAGGTCTAGGTGATTGGGATGTAATCTGGGATATCAGTGCTGGGGAAGTGTTTGTGGGTATAGGTGATGGAGATGTAATCTGGGGTGTCAGTGATGGGGACATATTTCTTGGTGTAGGTATTTGAGATGTGGTCTGAAGTTTGGGTGATGTAGATGTGTTTGTGGGTATAGGTGATGGGGATGTAATCTGGGGTGCCAATGATGGGGACATATTTCTTGGTGTAGGTATTGGAGATGTGGTCTGAAGTTTGGGTGATGTAGATGTGTTTGTGGGTATAGGTGATGGGGATGTAATCTGGGGTGCCAATGATGGGGACATATTTCTTGGTGTAGGTATTGGAGATGTGGTCTGAAGTTTGGGTGATGTAGATGTGTTTGTGGGTATAGGTGATGGGGATGTAATCTGGGGTGCCAATGATGGGGACATATTTCTTGGTGTAGGTATTGG